CTCTTATAATCCCATCTTCTCCAATCTCTCTGTGAGGAGAGGGGGAAGAAAAATACAAGTAAGGCATAAGACAAGTTGCCTACAGAATTCTCCCCCCTCCTCCCCTTTGTAGAGTGGAGAAATTAGAGAAGAAAATAAGCAGAGCATACAATGGAGAGAAACACTGGTCTGTTTGTGTGGCACACTTGAAGCTGCCAGTGCCACCACGTTGCTTTCAAAATATATTTCGTTTTGCACGCTTGCTTTATCTTTTGTAATCCCTTCTACTAATTTCTCCATTCTGCTGAGGTGGGGGGGGGGAAGCAAAGCAGCAGGTCAGGTACAGGACAATGCATACTGACTGTAAAGGTGACCAAGGGTCACTGCAAAGGTTGTAAATATGGGCATTGGTCATAAAGTCATGTTTTCAGAAGTGTCGCGCGCACACACACAAATGCACAGGTGTGTATGTGTAGAATCCAAGCCCAAGAATGTTTACAAAACAGAAGGCCTTTCAGGGCTTAGACTCCCATTCCAGATGCTGGAATTTGCAAGAGCCGGATCCCAGGCAGGGGCGCAGAAGGCGGGCAGCCTCTTTGTACGAGCAGCGATGTGCCTCGTCTTCAAGGACCCTCCTCTTTCTCCTTCCCAGGGCTACCGGACCGGCTATGCTTACCGTTACCCTTTTGTCCAGGAGAAGACAAGGCACAAGAGTGAGGTGGAGATCCCGGCCACCGTCACTGCCTTTGTCTTCGAAGAGGAGGCGGGCCCCATCTTCACCCACCGGCAACACGCCCAGAAACAGCAGAAAGAAAAGACCCGCTGGCTGAACACCCCCAACACCTACCTGCGTGTGAAGGTGGCTGAGGACAGCCAAGGCGGTGCCAAAGCCACGGTTAGGAGAGAGAGGAGCCTGTCTGCTGCCGCAGCAATGCGAGCCTGGCTGTGCGGTGGGCGCCTTCTTGCAGTGTGCACAAGGCAGAGAAGGATAGCAGGAAGAACGCCCATCCTTTTGGTGACTGTAGAAATTGGGGAGAGCCGGACAACGGATTCACCTTGCAGGGAGTAGATTTAGGAGCAGTGCAGTGGTGCAGATTGGCAAAATGTCCAGGAAAATGGAGACCAGGAAGGCCAAAAGCCAGCAGAGATGAGAGCGCCTCCAGCATGGCGCCAATGGGCTGTGGGGAAGAGATCTCAGGATTTGGCAAAGTCATCTTGACTGGGGAACCGGGAAAGTTTAGAAATTGGAGTTGGTAGAGGTATCTCCCTCTTGGTCTGACAGGTCCTTCACTGCTGCCACAGACATTAGCGGTCTGCCCAGAAGGAGGCTCATTCTGGAGATCCAGAAGTCACTTACTGTAGAGGGGATCCCTGGATAATAAAAGGCCTTTGCAAGATTGCTGGATGGTGCTTGCCTTCAAATGAAGCCCATCCCTGGCAGTTGTGGCATCATAGATGAGGAGCCGAAGCAGAAGAGGACTCGGTTGCCTGCCTTCCTGCTTGTGGGCTTCCAGATTAGATCATGTTCCCAGCTGGGGAGACCTTAGGATTGGCTGAGACTTGTGGCTGAGATGCCTTGGAAGGAAAAGCTAGAGTCGGGCAGCCGTGGTGGCTGAGTGGGTAGAGAATTGGGACATAGCAGAGTCAGAGGCTGCTGCATGGGGGCCACAGAGGACCACTCCCCAGGGACCAGAGAAGCTGAATAGAAGGCCAGAAAGCTGGGAGGCAAAGGGGAACAAGGTTCAGCTGGCAGTTTCTGCCTTGACTAAACTATGCAAAAAAAAAAAAAGTTGGCATTTTCCTATTGCAGTTACCGATGCAGTTGTAGAACCTGCCTTCTTATCAAAACATTTAGCAAAAATTGTGTTTCTAATTAGATTTGACCTGATTTCCACACTGATAGTTGCGGGACCAGGCTAAGCAGCCCTGAGCATTGTCTGGGTGGGTAAAAGGCCGTTCCAGTGAAGGAAGGAAGCCAGGTGCCACCTTCCCTTCCTTCTCAAGCTCCACCGCCCTTTCCCGCCGAGGGTTGCTGGGTCGGCTCCTTTGTGGAGCTAAGGCCAAAGCCGACTCGACTGGCTTGCTGTCCACAATCCGGGTTCCTAAGTGGGTTCCCATGGCTGCTCCAGGGAGGCCCCTTCGCCCTTCTTCAGACAGCCTTTGTTTGCTTCCCCCCTCCCCCCCTGCTCTCTAGTGGATGAAAGCGGACGACGTGGAGAAATCCAGCAGTGGCATGCCAATCCGAATTGAAAACCCAAACCAGTTTGTGCCTCTCTACACAGACCCACAAGAAGTCTTGGAAATGAGGAACAAGGTACATCAAGGTTTGGCTCCTCCGGTTGCTGTCTGAAGCCCTCCCTCCTCGGGTCTCTGCCCTGGAGGGGGTTGCTTTTAGAGCAGCTCCACTCAGGGCTGCCTAGAAAGAGAAGAGACTCTGGCTGATGTGGCAGGTCAGTTGCTGGTGGTGCAGAGGTGAGGTCTGCCTGTGCTTCCCCCCCCCCCCGCCCCAGCCATGAAGGCCACCAGGTGAGTTGATCCTTCCTTCCTCTCGGGCTCCTGACAAGCAGGCCAGAGGGGCCCATCCGCAGCGTTACCTGCTGGGAGGCGGCCTTTATGAAACAGGTCTGACACTGATCAGCTAAATGTGCCTCTCAGTCTCAGTCAGACTTTTCTCCTGCTTTGGTTTGGACCAGAAGCTCTCCAAGGTCTCTCCCAGCCCTGGGATTCTGTGCTCTGTTTTGCGGCTGGCAAATGCATCTTCAAGTTGGGCTTTATTTTCTGCCCTCTGCCCGGCATCTGTGAAGGGAGAAAGGGGAGGATCATGTCACACACATCACAGGGCAAAGGACACATGTCATTTGCGTCATGGCACCATGTTGCAGCCGAGGGAGGCGACATCCTTGGAAGGATGGTGCCTGCACAGGGTGCCGTGTGTTGCTGCCTGGATGCTCCATTAGAGCAGCTCTTGTTTGCCTTGCAGTGATGGGAACAATCTGCCTCCCTCCCGCCATTTTCCCTCCTCTTCTTCTGGAGGTAAACTCTTTACAGGGGGGACTCCCCCACCCCGCCTCTGTCTTTGCCTCAGAAGGCTGCTAAGCAGGGGCCAGAGAGACTTGTTGATGGTTTGGAGGCGGTCTCTCCTGTGGTATCAGGCAGACCCATTCTCCCCCTAGCCCCATTTCCTTGGCGTGAGTGGCCTTCCCTGCCTGGAGGACGGGCAGCAGCCTCCTTCTGCCCGCTGGTGGCATCTGCCTCCTCCCTCCTTGCCTTAAGGGCTGTTCCTCTCAGCTTCTCTGCCATGACAGGCCCATCTATCTCCCTGCAGATCCGAGAACAGAACCGCCAGGAGGTGAAATCGGCCGGACCCCAGTCCCAGCTGCTGGCTAGCGTGATCGCAGAGCAGAGCAGGAGCCCGGTAGGCATCGCAGGCTGGCGCTGGCATCGGGGGCACCAGGCTTGGTGGCTCCCAGCCTGTGCCTGTGCTGCTCTCTCACAGCCCTCTTCAGCCCCAGCTCTGGGAGCGGAGGCCATGGACAGGCAGGCTGGAGAGGCCCTGACGGGAAGTTCAGCCCTCGGCTCTGGGTCCAAGAGGGGGAGGCTCCATCATGCACCTTCCTCGTGCCAACCAGACAGGCCTGGAAGGTGTGAGCATCTGGCTTCCTACTGCTTGGCTTTTGCTTTGCCAGGCCTCTTGGCCCCCTCTGCTGCCCCTCCTTTTCCTTTGGCCCTTTGCTCAGTGAACGCCAGGTGCATCCTTGTAATTAGCCTCACAAGCCCTATTTTTTAAAAAAATTCAGCAGGCCTCATTTGCTTTCACCATTGTGTGCACACAACCAGCCAGCCACACAAACACATCACAGACGCCGTTAGAAAGTTGGTTTCAGACTTAATTGGGGGGAGTTGTGGAATGAAAACTGCCAGGTGATAGTTATGCACGGTCTCTGTATTGCTGCAGTCTACCGAGAGTCACTTGGCTGATGGAGAGACGAAGGATGACTCCCGTGTGGAGGCCTCTCTTGAGCCCGAGTCCCCCAACCCCTTCAGCCAGCTAACCGATCAGGAACTGGAGGAGTACAAGAAAGAGGTGGAAAGGAAGAAGCTGGGACCTGACGGTAAATGTCCTGGTGCAGTCATGGCTACTGAGGCTGCAGGCTTGAGAAGCCCGAAGGACTGCAGTGAATGCAGTAAGGGAGAGTTGAGCTCACCATCAGCTTAGAGAAACCAGGGAATATTTTTAAGGTGTCCCAAAAGTTGGTGGGTAGAAACTCGGGAGAGACGACTGTTACTCCACTGTCTTTGTTTCTAGTCTGAGTTGCACATCCTTCTTCTCTTCCACCATCCCCTCCCAGGTGAAAAGAAGGACAGCGGTCCAGAGGAGGAAATGACATCCCCTGAAGAATCCACCGTCACTCCTCCCGAACAGAGCCCCACAAAGCCTGGGGCAAGGAGCCCTGCCAGGTCCCCCTCCAAAGCTCCAGAAGGTAGGGGTGCCTTTGGGACCAAAACATCCTCGTGCCGTCCATCATGATCTCTGCAGCAATTGGACACCAGATGAGGGATGGCCAGCAGCTTGGATGGGATTTTTAAAAAGCATAAAGAGAGAGATTATATTGGCCCGACAGCTGACTAGATGTAGAGGGCAGAGAACCCCTGTCTGGCCACCACTGCAAACAGAATAAGGCCTTAGGAGCCCCATTTAATGATTGCCAGCTGGATCACCTGGCATAATAGATGATCAGAACTGATTGAGACGGAATCAGGGGTGTCCTTCGGTGTATCAGAAAAGTCAATAAATACAATAAAAACTAATACAAGCATAAAAGTAAAATAAAAAATAAGAAAAATAGTGCAGACAATAAAAAATAAGACATAAAAATACATGAAAGAAAAAAAAGAAATATATAAAGAAATGTTCCCCTTTCGTCATAACAAAGATAAACAATTTTAGTAACTTCCTTCCTTCTCTTAAAATACAACAAATAACCTCTTCTTCCCATATCCCATCTCTTATCTAAGCAAACCTTCAAAGCCTTGTCATTCAGTCCTGGTCACCAAAAGTCCAGAAATAACAACTTCTCTATTTTAACCTAGATCAGATAAACCAATTTTATATTTCTTCCTTTTACTTCTATCAATCTTGATTTCATTTTTTCTTTTTCCCTTCTCAGAAAATTCTTCAAAGCTTTAACAAGCCACTATTGTAAATCTAAAACAGGAACATTATCCAAATCACTCTTTTAGTTTATTTGTATATCCCTTTTACTAATTAAGACATCATCCAGTTTCTCTTGTATGTCCAGTGTAACTTCTTTTTCCATGTCATTCTTGTAGTCTGTCATTTGTAAATCCACTTTCACATCAGTCTCAATCTTTTCTGATAAAACATATTCCTCTTCTATATTATCTTCTAGACACGGTCTAGCTATAATGGCAGACATTCTTAAAATTAATTTCTGGATCCATTGTTTAAAATTATTATTTAAATGTCTGATAAAATATTTTACTTCATTTTGTAGAGCATATGTGTTCTAAAGAATGTAATCTTTAGTTTCCCCTAGTGTCCAATTTTTAAGGTATTATCTTATAATATTTTAAAATCAAAACAAAAGCATTTTCCCAAGGGAAGGATTTTTTATAATTAACTCCAAAAAATTATTTCAAATTTATTTGGACCCTTAGTTTGTTTGTAATAATGTTCTAAAATCAGAGTTCTTTTCATAAATTTGTTGTTTGTTCCAAAAATAAAATATAATTTTAATTTCTTAAAAGTAGGCCAGCTGTTCACTGTCAGGAAGTTTCTCTGTAATTCCAGGTTGCTTCAATTGAGGGTGGGTCATGCCACCAACTCTGCATTCAGTCTGTAAAACAGTGTTTCTCAAACTTGGCAACTTTAAGATATGTGGACTTCAACTCCCAGAATTCCAGCTGGGGAATTCTGGGAGTTGAAGTCTACACATCTTAAAGATGTCAGGTTTGAGAAACCCTGCTTTGAAATGCTTCAGACTCCTGACTCGTATGTCACTATGTGGAGGAGGAGGAGGAAGAGGAGTTCTTCAGCCTCTCTCAGGCCCAGAGCTCAGAATAAAGCTTCAGTGGAGGGAGATTCCTGAATAGTCTCCCTTGGGATTATTTGTGGCAGGGAGGACAGTCACTGGCTAGAGAAGCATTCCCCAAATGCCAAAGCTGGCATCTGCCACCAAAGGAGTACAAGGGCGCCACCCAAGAGAGGTTTGTCAAATTATCTTGTCCTTCAAAAGAAATTTTGAAAACTAATTCCTTCCTCGGACTGAACTAGAGTTGGGCCTGTGACCCTAGAAAGCCCTGGTCTGTGTGGCTCCTTTAGGCTGCAGGAGTTGTGCTAGTATGTGTATGTGTGTGTGTGTGTCTCTCTCTCTCTCTCCCCCTTTCTCTTTGCCATTGTCTCATTCTGCCGCATTGTGTTTGGCGTGTTTATCTCCACAATGTCTCCCTTTCTCTTTCCATGTGTTGCTTTCATCCAAGGAGTTGCCTCTGGTTCTGAATACTTGTCACTTTAGTAAGTATAGAGAGGCTGCGTTCTCCCTTTCCAGCTCTCTCCCCGGGGAGGGAGGGAGGGGGGGTGCGCTGGGCCGGCCGTCTTTGGGCCGAGCAAGGCCGCCTGTTGCTGGAGCAGGAACGGCTGTGTGGGAAGTCATAGATGGGGTGGGCATGATGATCACAGGAAGTGACTTAGCTTGGCATGCAGGAAGCTTGCAAAAGGTTTGGTGAGAGGACAGCCTTCCATGTTCGGGAGTTCTAGGGCCAGAGGAAGGAGTTAGTACCAAGTGAACTCGTGTGATATTCCCCCGCACAGATCCTCCAGGAGGCTGACTGTGCAACTTCTAGAATTCCTAGTTAACCCGGTTAAAATCCTCAAATATCTGGAAAGTTAAGGAAAATTGATCTGACAGTCTCATCGGGATACTCTTCCTGTAAGAACTTGTTGCTTGATGTGGGTGTTCTTTCCAGATGTTTATTTTCCTTTAAAAAAATGCTTATGCAGTTCCATGACTATTGGAGGGGGAAGGAAGCAGCTTCAGAGGCTCCCCAGTTCAAGGACGCCTGGAACAGCACCCTCGTTCTATCCTGGGCCTCACCAAACCTCAGAGCCCGTTGAAGATCTCTTGAGATAGTTTCCTTCCTAAACCGAGTGATGGAGAGCCTGATGTGGAGGGGGAGAGATACGTTCTCTCCTAATAGTGCAAGCTTCCTGAATGTTTGCAGTATGCACCATTGCTCTGTGGGCCATCAGTAATCCATGGAACCTGTCTGTAGTCCTAGGTAGAAACCAGCTGCTATTCCGTAGCTCTGAGGCTTCAAGTGTAGAAGCCCCAGTTAAGATCTGGCATCTGCCGGCACCTGAGCAGATGGTTCCAGGCAAAGCAGTCTTTCAGCCCCCATTAACAGGGGGATATTCACCTGCGTGTCAGGTATGCTGATCCGGTGAACCTACAGCAGCATGAACCCTTAGGAGCACGAGTGACATCCCATGCACAGCTTGAGGCCTCAAGAATGCACAGTGGCATTCTCCCCCTCCCTCCTCCACCCCCAGCTATGGGCATAGCAAAAATGGCTGCCAAGTTCTAATGTTTCATGACAGAGTGAGATGTTTATGATGGAAGCTTTCACTGGATTTGATTTAAATCACATCTAGTTTGGGATCTAGGTGCTACTTAATTCATGGTCCTGTACATCCCTGTTTTGCAAATGCAGCCTCCCAACCAGCCCACAAAACCAAATCCAGCCCTCCCCAGCAGATACATTGGGAGGAAGAGATTCTGCAGGCAGAAATGCTGAAAATGTCAGCCATCAGCTGCGTCCCAGCCTAGGGCGGTTCCCTAAGTGGCAAGAATAGAGAGGGGGGGACTTAGAAAGGGGCTCAGCTTCATCTGCCAGAGGTCAGAAGCATCTGCGGCCTTAGGAGATAATGCAGGACTTTCACTGTGTGAGCATCCTGCAGGATTTCAGCCCCCCAGGGGGAGTTTGGCGCTTCTCCCCCACCCAGGGAAGTGGCCACACACAGCCCAATTGGAACAGTGGGTGCTCTTGCGGACGTCTTGATTCCGGTTCTGCTTTCTAGCAGCTTTGTTGATCCCTCTCTTTGGCCCCAGGCTCCCCCAAACAGCCCCTCACCCTTTATGCTGGGCTCCTTTCCCATCACCCGCTGGGTGGGAGGGGCGTGTGCGTGTGATTGGCCTCTCTCGCCTCGGCCTTTGGGGCTTACAGTGCTGGGTTCTCGGTGTAAAGGCTCAACACTGCTTTCTTTCTGTTCTCAAGGTGGGAAGAAACCTGCTGATCCTGCCTCAGCCGACAAGGCCGAGCCAGAGGCAGTAGTGGTCAACGGGAAAGAAGACGACCAAACAGTTGAAGAGCACCTCAGCAAAGGGATCAGCCAGCTGACCACCAATGCAGACACCACTGAGGGCCCAAAGGACAAAACCGAGTCGGTCACCGGTGGGCCTGTGAGCCCTGAAGGGTCCCCTTCCAAGTCTCCCTCCAAGAAGAAGAAGAAATTCCGGGCCCCCTCCTTTCTGAAAAAAAGCAAAAAGAAAGAGAAGGCAGAATCCTGAGGTCTTCCCTTTCCTCGCGCACCCTGCCTCTTCTTCTCTCCTCTCCTCCCCTTCCTCTTCTCGCCTTCTGCTGCCCCCTCCGATCTCGTGACATCATGAGGATAACGGGGGAAGATTCCCTGGCAATGGTCCATCTTTCAAAAATGCCCCAGAGAGGAGCCCGGCTTGGAACGGTGCTCCTCTTGGAGCTGTCTTGTGGAGCCCTTGGGGAAGACAAGGAGCACCTGAAGCATCTTCCCTCTTCCGGCAGCCTCTGTGGAGCCACAGGTGCAGCCACGCCGGAGAGAAACCTTCGGGCCTGTTAAGTTCCATGTGGGAGGGAGAGGGTGCATTTCACCTCACCATTAGCCACTTCTAGCCTGTTGCTCTTGCACAAAGGCGGGAAGCCATGGAGTGCCGCCCAAGGGCTACGTGAAGGCCCGTGGGTGGTCCTGAAGCAGGAGGGGGCTTGCACCCGTGGGGAGCAGGGGTGCCTTTTACACTTGTTAAATGGCCACATCTTCCCTAGGAAAGTTGCTCTGAACTTTAGAAGCAGAAGGACACACTGCAGCTGCAGCTGCCAAAGAAGCCTAACATTTATTGTGGGGTAATCTGACCAGGGGGCCTTCTGGCACCATCAGCCTCCTTTACCTGCAACAGGGTGACCCCAAAGGCCTTGATGAATCAGGTGGGTACTCTTGGGCAGCACATCCAGAGACAGGGGGCGGAGAGCAGTTGCCATCCTGGGGGGTCACAGGAAGGGTGCAGTCTTCCAGAGACCTCCTCTGAGCAGCCCCCCTGAAACCATGGACAAAAGCAATTGGGTGAGTGAATGAGGTTTGAAAAGGGAACTCAGGGTGTTTTGTGAGTCCTGGGGACACGCCGGATGGGTGTCTGCACCAAGCATCTTGAGTTAGGGCAGGTTCTGAATTGCATAGATCAGAACCCAACTTGTCATCTACAATGGGAAAAGAGGGCAGGTGTGATACAAAACCATTAGAAGGTGCCAGATTAGGCAGCAATTGGTCTGCAAGTTCCTTGCTGCTCGGCCCATTTTCGAGATTGAAAAGTTCCCCCTCAGGTAGACTGCCGAGTCTCTTCTGACCTGCTATCGAAAGGGAAATATGAAACCCCAATTCTGCAATAGTCTCAGGTGGGTCAGAAATCTGAAGTTCATCTCACCTGCATTGCATCCGGCTATTATTCCATGTCAGTCAAGTAAGTGCTACTGTGTCCATTGGGAATATCAAGAGCAAAGAACACACATGCACGCACCTAGTTGCACACATGCACACACACTGCCAATAACTTGTGCAATGAGTACTACTGAAATTGCAATGGATTAAGCTTGTAGAAATAATTTCTCAGTGCACTGTTAAGGAATATTGTCATGTGTAAATTATTTACTGAAGTGGTGATAAAGTTTGCTCCGATCGCATACTGCTTTAAGGGACATGCATTCTGTGCAGAAATGGCCTTTTGCTGCTCCCAATAGAAGTGATGTGGTGTCTAGCTTGACTCATAAATGCTCAGCTGGGATATAGAGGCAGCTTTGAATGTCTGGCTTGATGGTGCATCTTTCTGAGGTGACAGAAAGATTGTCCTTGAAAAGTGCTCAAAATCTTTGTGTAGCCTTTATTTCCTTCACCAACCTTTCTGCCCCAATTGAGGTTTCACAAAGTGGCGGACGAGGTGAGCGTGACTGGTCAGTTGGTGAGTTTTTCTCTGCCAACTCTCGCCCATCCCTTAGGCTACTTTCTGTCATCCCAGCCTTCCTTGGTCTTCCCCACCTGCTTGGGCGGCTGGGCTCCAGCCCCCTCCCCACCATTTTCCTTCTTCTTTTTCTATTTCAAAAGGACAAAGACATCAAGGTCTTGCAGGATCCCAAACTTGTGTGGCAGGAGATCAACCTCCCGTCTTACTCTTAAAAAAAAAAAAGGCGAGGGAGGTAACCTGAGAAATTCATGGGCAGACTCAGTGCCACGTGCAGATTGCCTTTTTCAAATGGGGACTTTGGGGTTGAGTAGCCTTTTGAGAAAAAGTCAGATTGTTCCTCTCATCCTTGTTGCAGACCTTAATTGCTCACACCCAGACCGACTGCAGGAAAAATGGGTGAAATGGAAGGAAAGATTCACCTCTCCAGTGCCCTGAGAGCTGCATGGCTCTAATTTAAATTGCCCTGTTGGAAGCAGCTTTCTAATTCTTTAAAAACAAGGGTTTTTTTCCCTAGAAACTCCTAAGAGTAACCTCCACTCCCCTTGCTTGCAAGCACTTCTAGCAAAGCTGCTGAACTGTTTGCAGGTTAGGAACAGCCTGTCACACTGACAACTGTGCAGTTCCAGAAACAGCCCATCTCCTAGAACTGGTTCATGGCAGGACTTGAAATAACAGGTATGCTTGCAGATGCCTTATTCCAAGGTGCTAAAAGAAAAAAAAACTTGTTACAGCTTAGTGTTAAAGTGGAAATTAGCATCATCTGGGGAAGAAAGCTTTGCTCCATTGGACAAATTGTGCCATTGTTGTTCTTGTAATAAGGAGCTTCAAATGTTTCCCACAACAGCTTCTATTTCTCCGGAGAGTGTGGGAGATAAACAGCCCCCAGCAACATGAAGCAGGTTTTACAAAGCGCATTTTACACCTTGTGGTTGGGGTCACTCAAACATGTTGGAATAGCTGAAGATTTAAAATGACCAAAAGAAAAGGTGGGATCAGGTCCCTCCTACGGGTGGTTGCCTTTTTTATAAGACCAGAAGGGAACTTCCACGCAAAGCGATTTCTCCCAAGTAACAAAAAGGGGAAACCACCAGCTCTTCTGAGCTTGTCCTGAGGGCATTTGGTTGAGCGATGCTGTGAGTGACTGGGCTGCCCACTTGAGCCCAATTCAGCATGATGTTTGTCATATGTTCTTATGCAAGGAGGTTGGCTTACCTAAAAACTTACAAATTGCAAGCATGGGGATAGGATCTCCTGAGATCCACTATGTGATAAAATACAGGGTAGCTTAGCTCCCCAGGTCAGTTTGCATCCTGGAAAGGAGCCAGTTCACCTGAGGCAGGCAAAGATGCTGATGTTGCTCCTTTTGTGTATGCCTCTGCTTGTGAAAATGCATGCAAAAAGCCTTAATCACAGTTTGGTGGTAAAATAGTCAAGCCCTCTTTGAACTCCATGTAAAGCCAAGTTTTCCTTGTACTTCAAAGCTTAAATTAGTGCTTTGCAAAGAGGTGCTCATTTCTTTTGTAATAAAGACCAAATTCCCTCTTTGGTCCTTATTACAAAAGAAATGAGCAGCTCTTCGCAAAGCACTAATCAATAGGAAATTGAGAAATAAATAATTCAGAATATGCAAAGTAAACAGCTGGAAATGTTTAGCAAAATATAAACATACCGGTATCTCTGTGTTTGGTGTTTCCACAGACCAGCCAATTCTGTTAAGCAGTTTAATGATAGGCATGTACAGATAATCCACCTCGGAAGGGGCTGAGGGGGTTTTGCATTGCCCACTTTTCAGGCCCCTCTTCTCTGACCAGCTCACCAGCTCTGCAGGTTGAAGAACTGCTGCTTGGCCCATGAGCAGTCTGGGCCCTTGGCTGTGGACCCCAGGAGTCAAACTCCATTAAAAGAAAGAACGTGGGCATAAATTGAGAAATCATGACAGTTATTAAGCAGATTTTTAAATCAAACTGCATCTTCCTTCCTGATTTTGTTGCTTCAGTGGCATACCCAAAGATGTAACAACTGAGGCAAGCGATTCTGAGTGACAGTTTGTGTGTCGGTACAGCAGCTGAACAAATGCTACCAAAAGCCCCTGGTTTCACCACCAGGCAGTCCAACAAAGAGTAGCCCTGTGAAATAGTGGAGAGAGAACGCCAGGCTAACCTAAATCCTGGGGGGTCCAGTGCTTGTGAACGGTGAACTGGGGCTCTGGCACAGTTTTTGATCTTGTCATTCAGCTGAAGCAGAACAGGAGTTCGGTGAAAACAGAAAAATGGCACATAAATCAAGTAATTAAATAGGGTACTTGCTGAATTGACAATTAGAGGGATCAAGACTGGATTTTCTGATAAGAGTTCCGCCCTCTCTCGGATCGATCCAGGTCTGCACCTCTTGGCAGCAGCAATCGTTTCCTGCCGCCATTGAATTAGACCCCACGAACGAGGGTCTTTTTCATCATATGTACCCTTATTAAGTGGTGGTAAAGTGGATGCTGCAAAAATGCAAAACCTGAAGATGCGTTCCCCCCCCCCCCCCCAGAGCTGCCAGCAACAGACATCCTGTCAGTTGCTTGGCAACCTAGCTGACTCCGGTGGGGTTTGCAGGGGCCGGTGGAGTCGGGTGTGGGAAGGGGTCAAACCGAGGAGCTCCTCGTCCTTTCAGAGTTTCAAAATGGGGCAGGGACAACTGTTGTCCGAATGCCCTCAGCAGCTCTTGGCTCCACACTCCAAAGAGGGTTTGGGGAGCCAGGGCTGCCTGGGGTCTGGGCTGGTGCTACACCCATCGGCTCTAAGAAACACGGAGAGACCGATAGTGAGATTAAAATCTTAGAGATAATCACATTAAGTCTTATTCATAGCCAACTGGAAACTTCTGTGTAAAACAAAATTACCTATTTTAAACCTTGGATCTTTCCCTTATTTTTACCGACTGCTCTCATTTGATGCAGTCGTTTCTCTCAAGTGTGATGGGTGTCAGTTCCATCTTTTGAATAATTTTTCAAAGCAAAAAAATCTGGCTAAATAGTCAAATGTTCCTTATAATATTTAAAAAAAAAAATCCTATTAGATACCCTTCCTCCAGCATCATTCTACACTGAATAGGTTCCTGGTGGATTATGGCCCTTTGAAAATAACAAGCAAGTAAACGTATAATTAAATACCTTTCCCTTTATAGGACTTGGAAGAGAGGTATTTAAGTTAGAGAAAAAGACTCTTCGCCATATAATTACATGACAATTTAGCAATTACTCATAAGTGTGCAGCTGTTCCCAAAAAATTTTATTTCATGTTAACAGTGTTCAAGTGTGTACTTTTGAAACAACTTCAATTACTGCTGTATTGTGCAGGTGATTGATGGCTTTCCCTCTAATCCAGAAAAGGTGGGCAGTGACTCTCAAGTGAAGCTGAGTCAGCCTTTTCCAAGGGGATGATCTAGAAAAGCTCATCCGAGCAAGGAATCCAAGATGAAAAACAGCTTAATGCTTTTAAGCTCTTTTTCACACTGGAACTTAGACTGGGCATGCCCATCTGTGGCTCTGGCCTCTTCCATCTTCACCTGTTCTGGCTCTCAAATGAACTTGGTGCTGATGGGAAAATCTGAGGGCTTCACTGATGATCTGGAAGTGGGCAAAGGTGGGCCACTCGTGAGAGAGGCACAAGGATGGTCTGTGCATGGTCTTAGAAATGATACACGACTTCCAGAGTGCAAGATATTGTGCCCCAAATCACTTTTTACATCTGCAAAACAATGTGATTGCAAAGTATACATAGCCTGAGATAAAGCTAATCATCTCTGTAAGGATGTTGAGACACTGAATTTGCAAAAACAACAAACTGGTGTTCCTAAAACAAAGAAAAGACAGTGATAGATTTGCTGAAATTATGATTGATATCCAACAAACAAACATCAAACCAGAACTACTGGTAGGTTTATATTTCTGTAGCAGACAGTTTATTCTTGGATCATGTTGTTGAGTTCCTCAACCTATTAAGCAAAGTGCAGCATCCTGGTATTAAGAGCAGCCTGAACCACAACTGGTCCCAAGTCCTTGGATGTGGTCTTCCACAGAGAAAGAGAAAAAGTGGCCCTGGGAGTCGATGAGCAACAGATTCTAGCTTTGACAAGGGCAAGAACACCCTGGAGGTCTTTCACCCACCCCCAATTATCAAAGAGGCCCAGGTCAGTCAGAAGGAGATGTAATAATAATGCAATGTATCTCAAGTAAGCTGCAAAAATTAAATGTCTGTGTCTGACAATCGTTGCTTTAAAGTGCTATTTAATGTTTCCCTTTGTAAATAAAGACACCCCCCCCTCACTTTGGCCTTTTACTGACATTGTAAAGTCAATGAATTTGCTCATCAAGCAATCACTTGTGCAACTCAAGATTCCTCTCTCGTTCAATTACTCCACAAAACCATGTGGTTTTTTTCTGTACATTCATTTCTTGAGAAAATTAGACTGGCAATTTAATTCTTGATGGTTTATGTTCCTTGGCAATTTCATATTTTCCTTTTTATACCATACTTTGTTTCCAGACACTGGAGTAGTTATCTTCAAAAGAATTTGGTGAGTTAGCAGTTTTGAGGCCTTCCCAGTTGTGCCGCTTTGCCATTCTGCTGTTGCTGATGCATGTTTCTCCTTAAAGGTGGCTGTCTACGCTCTTCTGCTTGACTATCCAGTGGTAGTAAAGCAATTGTACTCTTCTGCCAAGGTGGTGGTGGCCACCCCCAATTCCAACATTGCTAGGCCAAACTGCTAAATGTCTGAATAAGAGACTTCCTTAAACAGAAACAGCTTTTTGTCTCATCTGATGAATCTAAAAAGAAAAAGAATATGCCAATAAACTTTTACCAGAATACCAAATTGTTTTGGAAATGTCTGTTTTTTTATACGAACCAGCACACTTAGTCAAAAGCTAAAATATCAGGCCCATCAATGTCTGTTTTGAAAGATTACTGGTAGAAATTCCATTTTCCAGATCATACTTTTCTCAGCAGTTGAACATCATGTGCACTAGATGGTAAATTACACTCTTCTAGTATATTCCAGTTACAAAATGGACAATTATTTCTAGGGGGAAAAAACTCTTTTAAAATGGTAAATACTTCATCTGGAGGCATTATGTGTTCTTGCTAGAATATTGTAACCTATGAACATGGCCTTACATCCTGCTGCACTTCTTGGCTTTTGGTCAGCAACCATTTGATTATTTGAGACCATGGGAAGTGGCAAGAGGAGCTGAAACCATCTCCAAGCTGAACTCTGGCATTTGCCCTATGACAGCTGGATGGGAATCTCCCCAGAGGCAACTTGACGGTCTGCTCAGTCCCTTCTTAAACATATAGAATATCAGAGTTGGAAGGGATCTTGGAGATCTTCTAGTCCAACCCCGTTTGAGCAGGAGACCCTGTACCATTTCAGACAAATGGCCGTCCAGTCTTGTCTTAAAACCTCTAGCGATGGAGCCCCGAAGATTAAACTTTTGATTAAATTTTCAAATGAAAATTCAAGATCAAAACCAAGAAAAACTTTATTAAAATGCATACTGTAATAAAGATTTTCTGCAGTAAAGGACTGTCTTTATAATAAAGGACATGTGGTCACTATAGTTATACATTCAAAAGTTGGAATATAATAACAATTAGGAATAACAGCCATCCAAAAACGGCGCCCTTCAGATACCTGAAACCATAATTCCCACCCAGGGCAGCCCAAAGCCGCGGGCGCTGCTCGCCTCCCCGCAAGCCGAGCCAGCGGGCTTCCCCTCGGAGCGCCCCGCCAAAGGCAGCCGCACCGGCTGATGCCCCCGGCGGAACCCCTGGCGCGGAGGCCGTTTCCGCCCGGAGGTGCAAGGAACGGCCGTCTCACCGGAAGTTCCGGGGAGCAAGCGCCGGAAGCGCATTTCGCCTCCGTCGGGCGCCGGGCAGGAGTCGCGATGGGCCGCAGCCGCTCCCGGTCGCCTCCGCGGAGGGGTGAGCCTCGCGGGCAGATTGTGGGGCGGCGGGGCCCGGTTCCTCTGGGGGCCCTCCGCGTCTGCGGCTTCCTGGCCTTCTTCCCTCCGCCCAGTCCGGGCCCCGCGCCATGCTCCAGAGAGGCAGCCCTCCGAGGCCGTCGGAGCGCATTTAGCGGGGATGCGGTGGCTGCCTTTCGCCGCGGCGCAGACCCTCCTCGCAGGCCCCCGGGTCTCCTTCCCTCGAGCCCCCCCCCGGGCGGTTTGGGGAAAAATGGGCTGCGCCTCTTGGCCTCCGGCTGTGGACCGATGGGGGGGGGAGAACAGGGGCCTTTCGTTTTCATCTGGCACAGCAGAGGCCTGGCCTTTTCCATCTCCTCTCATTTCCTCGCCCTTGAGTTAAGGTTGAATTAAAAAAAAAACTGACTGAAATGTCTGGAAGGTAGCATTTGTAATTTTCATGCGATCCTGAGTCCGGTAAGGAGAAGGGCGGGATACAAATCAAATAAATAATAAAAATAATAATAATAATATAAAGCTAAAAGCCAGTTGTGTTTTACTATCAAAGCTGCGCTACTTTCTTTTCTAGCCTAATCCATGCTTATGACCAGTATCTTTTCTCCAGTATCCTCCGGGTCTATTGTTCATTTTTAAGAGAACATTGCAGGATGTAGAACGGTGTTTTAAATGACACATAACTGTTGATGGCAAAATACCTTTTATGTTTTTCCTTTGAATATGTTTTGCTTATTCTAAACCAAGAGAAATTGGAATTAACTCTATATGATACCGTAAGTTTCATAGAAGAAGAGTTGAATAAAAGCATAGAACTCAGTTTAAAAAAACAGTATTATTTAAATGTCTGCAAGAAAACAAGCTCAGAGAGCACTAAGGATCCCTCAGAGTATTTATTTAACATTGGAGCAGTCTGTAAAGCATCTGTATCTGGAGGACCAAATTTGCTGAAGTATTTTAGATGTAATGTATTAGTTTAGGAAAAATATTCCTCTTCAGTCCAGGGGACTTATTACATCTGTTGTTTTACTCTGTAAAAAAGAACGTCGGCGTTCCAGATCCACCTCACGTGAAAGAGAGAGGAGGAGACGGGAGCGATCAAGATCTCGAGAAAGAGACAGAAGGAGAAGCCGTTCTCGTTCTCCACATAGACGGAGATCCAGGTGAGAAAGTGACAATGGTGGTACCGTAGCAAATAACTCTGTGTTCCATAAATAGTAGGAAGCTTAAATAAGAATAGCCCTGCTGACTGCCATTGTTGTGGGAAATTATGACGGAGCAGAATTATTTACTTCATCTAATATAAATTTGGAAACATCAAAACTCTTCTAAATGCCTTATCTAAACAGACTTTAGAAATTGTGCAGTCTCACTGAGATTCTTTTACCAATTATTTCAAAAAGAAAAATGTATATAATTACTGTTTTTCTAATATCTGTTCATTTATTAAATTGTAATCAAATTAAAGTTACTCCTTAGTATCATGGCTACAAATTTATTGCTCATTATAAGGGTTTTTGCAAGCATAGCTAGCTGATGTTTATAACTGTACCCAAATAAATAATTTAGGTCTGACAATCAAAACAAAGGAATTGGATAATTTACATCAAGATGATCATTTTAATATTAATAACATACAACTACAAGGATGCTATATTCTTGCTACCGTAGTTATTTTTCATATTTTATACATAAATATATATTTGCTGCACTGTGTTGTCTAATAGTTTGCATAGTATTAGAAATATAATTTCCATATAGAGCTTAAGAATACAACAATTATACAGCTCTGTGTTAGTAATTCAAATTTTATATAGGCTGTCCATACTGGAATGATTGTAAATTTTTGTAGTTCTCATTTTATGACGGTCATTGACTGAAGTAAGGGTTTTATCTGGTTTCTAGATGCTCCTTGTCTGAATGTCCCATTAGGTGACCGTGCAGGGCTGTCTTGCCTAGACTCGAAGCTAATGAGAATGAGGCCTGGTGTCTGGGTGGGAGATCAGAGAATAGTGTAGCTAGACTAGGATCTTGAAAAGTGTCTCTAAGGAAGACACTAGGCAATGTCCTGGCATGTCATTGCCAAGAATATTACCTGGCTGTTATCTGTGTCCTCACCAGGAGTCAAACCCCACTTGGTCACATCTTTAGGTACTGTGTTTCCCCGAAAGTAAGACCCACTCCGAAAATAAGCCCTAGCTTGGTTTTGGAGGGTGGGCCTAATATAAGCCCTACCCCCCAAAATAAGCCCTAGTTTTGGGGCGAGGTGCCCGCCTAAAAATCAAGCTAGGGTGGGTTGGAACTTACCATTGCAGCCAGGCCTCCCATGGATCGACACTTGCCCCGCCGGCCCACCTCTTCTGCAGCCGAAGGAGCAGCTTCATTCTGCAGTTGAGAACGGAGCTATGGATTGAATCCGTAGCTCGGTTCTCGGCTGCAAAGGGCTTCCAGAAAGGCCTCTGACAGCGAAATGCAGGCTGGAGCTCCATTCCCACCTGCAGAATGAAGCTGCTCCTTCGGCCCCAGAAGAAGGCTGGCTGGGCGAGGCTGTCGATGCTGCCACTGCGAGGTGAGTGGAAAAGATACACACACCCCAAAAATAAAACCTGGTGCCTCTTTTGGAGATCAAAAAAAAAATAAGACTGGGTCTTATTTTTTGGGAAACACGGTAGCCCTATAGCAGGGAGAATGTGAATACACATGGTTTCATGTGGACTAGGGTGTCCATGCAGCAATCTCTAGCCTTTGGTGTAATCTGTCTTTCAGGTTGTGAGGAATAAGCAGACCCAGTATGTGCTATCTTGAGGCCTCTCCAAGGAGGACTGCATTCCTGTGATAGGCAAACTGATCTAGCTCTGTTCTTTTTTCTACCACATCCCTACATTAAAGAAAAACAAACAGTGATGATTTTTTATGAGAATGCAGTTATACTTCTAGCATGCGTCCCTTGCTTCTGCTTTAATGCCCCTGTTCTAGTTATTTGAAAATAATAAAAACTCTTCTTTTTGTCTCATAATACAAATACTTCTCATCATTTTCTTTGCTGTTAAAGTGAAACCTGCACTGGTTTGACATTCTAGATCTCCTCGGCGGCATAGATCTAGTTCTGCTTCTCCTTCCCGGCAGAAGGAAAGGCGAGAGGATGAGGACAGCAAAGATGTCAAAGGCAAAGAACGTCAAATCACAGGTAGCGACATAGATGGCACACCTTGCTGTGGGGTCTCGGTTTCCACTCTTTGTGCATTGGACAGGGAAGCCTTTGAACAATCCACACTGGACTGTTTGGTCATTTCCTGGTCTTGGAGTGACAAAACCTCCCTATCCCTTTACTGAGAGCTAATGATAAGATAAGATAAGCTTTATTGTCGCTTTTTCCTGTGAACACTGGCACATAGTAAAAAATGAAATTCTGATGCCCGCTCTCTTAATGTCCTGTGTTTAAACCTTAAAAGTTTTCCGCATCATTATCGATCACTTCTAATAAAGTAGCACCTGTTTCCAATGCATAGTCCTCCCTGATTACAATTATTGTTGGATGGTCTATTTTTTGAGCACTTCCGACAATATTCTGTTCAAAATTGCAGGACTGCAAATGAGAAACAAAATAATAGCAATAAAGCACATTGGACGTAATGCAATAACTTCTGAGTTTATGAGGTCTCTCTCTGGGGATCAGTTTCCTGAGGAAAAGGATCGTGAGGTTTAGGCCCAACTGCTCATAGATCCCTTTCATGGTGAGGCTGGTGGCCATCCAGCTGTAAGCATAGTTGGAGCTTAGATCCATTTCAGGCCCAGCAGCAATACAGGAAAAGCTGCTGTTGCCCTGGTTTTTGAATCAAGGAGTTTGCTGTTGTGTTGCTGCTCCAGGATCATTTGTTAAACTTGATATTAGATCATGCTCAGGTTGGGAATGAACTATTTTATCTCCATGTCATCTCTTGTTTTCTTGTGCAGAAGAAGACCTGGAAGGCAAAACAGAAGAAGAAATTGAAATGATGAAAATGATGGGATTTGCCGGATTTGACACCACAAAGGCAAGCAGATTTTTTTCCTTAAATTTTAAAATGTTTGTGTCAGCTATATCTGCTGTTAAGGTGGCAAGCTGCAAGCAGGATGTGCAAAGATGTCTGCACTGTGCAGAAAAATTACAACATTGGTGAGTGCTGAATCCAACTTTTGAGAAACTCTGTTGTGCTTTTAAAAAGAGAGACCCACTCTTATTGCAAAATATTTAAGTGTTCAGTTTGAGCAATACTTCTGAGATATCACAAGCCAGAAAATCTGGTGAGTACACTACCATGTAGATGAAAGGCAGTGCCACACCGCCTGAAATTAACGTGCAAAATGTAAAGACGGGAGAACCAAGAAGCACAATAAAGGAAAAGAAACTATTCTTATCATATATGCATTTTCCCTATGAATAAAAAATGAAGGTCCTTAACAGAGTTCTTTGTAGTAGACCTAACTAATGTGGAGAACAGCTTCTTTTCTGTAGCTTACTGTTTCCCCATAGATATGAAGCAAAATGAGCCCTTAAAAGCCGACTTTGAGAGGTTGGAACTGTTCTGAGGGACGATTTTTGTATAATGCCCCTGCTCTTTGACTGTTTTCCTGTGACTTACCTGGAAAGGGAAATTGGCAGAGCCTTTACCCGTTTCTCCTGGTTCCAAAAAGAAATGGCTACAGTACTGCACGCCTTGAACTTGTTTTAAAAATAAGCCCAGATGAAACAAACCAACATCTGCCTGGTCAAAATCCCTTCAGGCAGCCCAGGATGCAATGGTGCCAGAGGTCAAGAGCCCATGGCTCAAGCAAAGGGAGCATCCCTGCCACAGGAGCCAACTGGGGTGGGCACGTTTGCTGGCTGTAAACTTTTGGACATAATTAAATTTGGCTTTGTGGCAGAGTTGGCAGACTTCTGAAAATTTGAAGTTATTAAAAAAAGAATCAGAAAAGGGGACTAGATTTCTTGAAACATAGTGATTTAATTGCATTATTATTGTGCCTTTCCTCTGAGATATATATATATATATATATAATTCTTCTCCTGCCTGCCCATTGTTCTGCGGCTTCTGGGTAGTTGGTAAATTTGCTGCTGAGTCTGAGAACTGGGAGTAACAGGAAGTGAAACACGTCGGGCTGGCAGTGGAGGAAGAAATTGATGAGAGGACGATTGCCATCCTATCAGTTGTTTGAAAGTGACTGCTTTTTTCTTGGTCTTGCAGGGCAAGAAGGTAGATGGATCTGTAAATGCTTATGCTGTAAACGTGTCACAGAAACGGAAATACAGGTTGGCATTTATTCCCTTGAACAGATTGGCCCCTGAGCATAGGAGCTGCTGGACCCTCTTTGCTCAGCATCACTTGATTAGCACAATCTTTGCAAAAATTGCTTTGGGTTCCTTCTGTTTGAGAAACAAAAGATTTCTGGCTTTAAGAAAGATTTGGATGTGGAGCCCTACAGTCACACTGAGGGGATGATGTTGTGCCCCATTTAGGTAGTGAATCTCGGCAGACGCCACGTGAGGGGCAAACCCTATTCACGATTGCCCATTGCTGGCACGGTAGTTCAAACCTGGCGACTTTTTTATGGGGCCATTTATATGGTGGTGGTATCTGGGCATTCAGTGACCCACTTGGTCAAAGTCTCAAATATCCCAGGATGACCAAGATGTTTTGGCACTTGAAAATCCTCCAAGCCCCTTTGGCCTTCCTTTCGTTGACCTGCCTCAGTCCATGGCTCCCATTTATTTGGCACCTTAGATCTGTGGACTGCTTTTCTGGCAGAAGCGGAAGGACAGTCACACTTTTGTAAGGGCATCATCCGCAGGGCATGGTCAAAAAGTCAACAGTGTCTTTGAAGCTTTACTTCTATATGAGATATATGTAAAAAAACAAATAGAGCTTTGATGAGAGTTACTCTTTTGATTAGACCTTGCATATACACGTACAAAAGGGACAGAGTTTGTGTTGCAGTAGCACAACACTATTTTTGTCATTTTGATGAAAGTCTTCCATTCTGCAGACACTTCTGTATTGTGACGACTGTGATCGGTAACAACATATGCGAGCATGCAGGGTGCTAAGTGTGCCCAGACCCAGGACAATTTACTCCATTCATGCTTCCCTGTTCTCTGTTTTCCATCCAGTGGTGAATAGTTTAATATGGCCACTAGCCAGCTTGGAGTCTTTGCTTGGTTATTTGGAATTGGGGTTGTCTCCTTGATCTATTTTTATATTTTTTATATTTCCCCAAACCTACTCGTATGTCTGTCCCATACACTGTGGTGCTATTTCAGATTTTGCTTAAATGTGTGTGAGAGAGAAAGAGAGAATAGAAACAACTTTTTGTGGTTTGGTTTTTTTTTTAACTGCAATAAGTATCAGGCTTAATATGCCTATTTTGTTTCTATCTGGGAATATTGACTGTGTTTCTAAAATAAAAATCCATTTAAAAATGTGGGGCTTACTAATATATGAGCAGTGCCTAGTGAAATTTTAGAAATATGAGAGAGAGATATTGTGGAAAATATTGTGGCTCACATTTGTTTCTCTTGTTGCAGGCAGTACATGAACAGAAAAGGTGGATTCAACAGGCCCCTGGACTTTATTGCCTGATTTGTCTGCAGTTTTACCGATAAAAAACCCCATTGTAGTCACATCTGTCTGGCTAAGAGGTTTTATCTTGTCACCCAAAAGGGGGGGGTGTCATTTTTGTGAATAATTCCTTGAAGTTACATTTCCTAGGCTAAGATGGTAATTTTTTCCTCTCTCAAATGTATCTTTATCCAGAGTGGTTTTTCTGGTGTTGCTATTCCACATTTGTAGGTTTCCTCTTTTAAATATTGTCAGTTAAATTAAAAAAAATCTTGATTGCCTCCTTGAGTAAAGTTGAACTAGACCAACTTTCCTAAAAGACAGAATCAAAAATTGGTAATACTTTGATTCCTGAACTATGTTGATGTTTACAGGAATTATTTTTTCCATTGTTGAATTCTTTTTAAACAATGCCCGGAAGACCATCGGTTCTTGGCACAATGGGACGTAGCTTCTTCAGCCACGTAACGTAGTTCAGATCCTGTATTGGTTGTCTCCATCCAGCAGAGGGCACTCAAACCAGCAAGTGATTGAAGCACTTCCCTTGTATGCTTGCATCATGCCCTTAAGTTTTTCCAGCAATTCACTGGCATTGTTTGGGATATTTGATTTGCATAATGGCCTGGGTTTTTAGGGCAGAATTTAAGAATAATTATGAAAATCCAGCAGCACCACTGTTACAGCTAAAAGGTTTCTAACTGGGGTGGGAATGGGCTGGGGGTGATTTGCAAACCACTATTTATTTATTTAGCGTTTGGCGTACAATGTCAGGGAAATCTACAGATGCTAGACACACAATGCAGTCCTCACAGCCTAAGTTGCTAGTTCACTCTGTTCAGCACTTGCGTGCCTATCCTTGATGCACCATAGGGGACGAACTAGCTTACACCAGCTGACTAGTAGCACTCAGATTGCTGGCTCTTCCGGACTTCGGATATAGTGCGTACTATTATATTTCAATCCAGACAGAAGCTATACAGTAGAACTTCTGGTCCTTATGTCATGGTGAGGAATCTGCTTTTGGGGGATCTGTGCGTGTTGCTGGCAGAGTATGGATTTAATTTTTTCTTCAAAGGCAGGATCAAACCTTATCCTTGATGCTGCAGTTGCAAGCATACTCAGTAGGGAGTAATATTTATTGAACAAGATTTAATTCTGGGTAGAAATGGGATTTTTTTGTGCTGTTATTGAATAGTTATGTTTGCTTCAGTAATTAATTAAGCAGAGGCATAATCCAAATTAAAATCAAATGCTTAGCTTCCTTTGACCTAGAATGGTAATGGGATTTATTCCACCCACAAGTTCAGACAAACCTAGAAGCCAACAGATGCAAGGGTTATGAATACACAGTAGCCTGCATAAGACATTCAGGGTGCTGTTTTGGCTACTGGAATGTGAAATATTGCTAAAAAGTATTTTGTACGGGTCCTTTTATTTAAATTAAAACCTTTTAGTTCTTACTCTCTGTTGTGTCATAAAAATAAAGCAGACAGGCGAGAGTCACATTTTAAAATGGGATGAGCTTACATGTAGAACCACCTTGAAAAAACTGATAAAAGCTGGAACTTCCACTTGTGTAATTATTTTAGCACCCATGGAATTATATATTTATAATAAATATATGAATAATACATCAATGTAAATACGATGTACTTTCTCAATATATTGTTTTGGGGTTTTAAATGCTGCACTCTGCAATGGGGGCCTTAATCATGGATTGGTTCCCTCCTTTTACGGGGGTGGGAGAGGGGAGCCCCAGCAGGCCCAGGTTCATCCAGGCATCATCCTTCGAGGCTTGCACACCGTTGCATGTGCTGCTCCGGTAAAATACCAGCAAGCCTATTTTCATACCAAGCAGGGTAGTGATTTCATGCTGAGGAGACTTCCTTGGGATCAGAGTTAACACTCCTGGGCTAATTTAGGACAGTTTTTCAAACTCGACAAGTTTAAGATGTGTGGGTTAAAACTGCCAGAATTCCTAGCCATGGGGCTTTAAGATGTGTGGCTTGGGAATTATGGGAGTTGAAGTCCTACAATCCTGGATCGCACCAGGGTCGGTCTTGTTGCATCAAGCCCCGGGAACCGGCACCCGCCCGCAAGAGGCGCCTGGGCTTTGCAAGGCCGTCTTGCCCTGGAGGTGGGAGAGGCGAGCAATGCGCATGCTCCCCGCTGGCTCGATGTTGACTTCCTTCTGGTTGGGCGGGACCATAGAACAAACGCGTGGCCAGGGGCGGGGCCAAGCATCGAAACCAACACAATAAGCAGGGCGGGACACCTGGGAGAGTTGACCAATCCGAAGGCTGAACGGAGTTCAGACCTATGAGAGACGCTACGGGATGTTGCTCTGCGGAGACTGGCCAATGAGGTTTCCCTTTTACGCAAAGCTGAATAGCGACGGAACCGTCGAAGGGAACGTCATCGTGGGGCTTGCCCAATCAAGCGGCACGATTATCGTTGTGAGGCGCCTCTCAGCGACTGAGCCAATGCCTGGAGCAAATGAGGAGATAGAGTTGATTGGGCCTTTCTGTTCCGCGAAGGACCAATCAGAGAAACGGGAGAGCGGAAGCAGCGCCTGGCGCCCAATCGTGGCCGCGCTGGGCGGGTAGCGGGTTGGGCTGCGGTCGCAAGGGGAGGGCTTGGCTGCGCCGAGTCTGTCAGGCTGAGGTGGGGTAAACACAGACGGGCGCTGGGGCAGCGGCGGCGGCGGCGGCGTAGCGGAGAAGCGAGGACGAGCCGGCCAGCCCGTCGCGGCGACGCGGGGCGCAAAATGGCGGGTGCCGCGCAGGTGTGCGAGAACATCCAGATGCTGCTGGAGGCGGCCGAGTTCCTGGAGCGCCGCGAGCGAGGTAGGCCGCCCCGGGAACAAAGCGCCTCCGGCAGGGAGGCCACGGCGGCCTTTCCCGTAGCCCCCCGCCCTTCCCCGGGGGGAGGGAGGGACAGGGGGACTGCGCGGCCTGCTCTCCCCGGCCCCCCTCCGGGCGTCGCGGCTGCCCGGCCGGGACGCAACGGCAGCTTCGCGGCGCGCGAGGGCCCGAGACAAAGGAGACGCGGCTTCCTAACCGCCGGGCCTGCCGGTTTTTCTCCACAGAAGCCGAGCACGGCTACGCTTCCCTGCTGCCCTACAGCGCGAAGGAGAGGGAGGCCTCGAAGAGGAGGAGCAGGCCCAAGAAAGGCGGCGGCGGCGGCGGCAGCAGGTCAGGATGATGCTATTTTGTCCGCCCCTCCCCCCCTTTTTTCTACCCCCGACTCGAGGCGGCGATCGCGCCAAGCCTCCCCCGGTCCGCCCCCTCCCCTCCCCCCCTCCCCTCCGGCGCCCGAGAAGCGTGTCGGGCGGAGCGGCGGCCAGAGTCGCCCGGCTGTCATTGTGCCCAAGGCGGGTCCTCCGCGGCCCGAACTGGCCGTTCCTCGATTCAGGCCTGACTTGCGGGGCCAAATCCCGGCCGTTTCCCTGGAAGCCCTTCGGAAGCCGGGTGGCCTGCCCTTCCCCCTCCTCCTCCCCCCTCCCCCCCTCCGGTGCTGAGCGTGGGGGGGGGTCTGGCCCAGAGCGGCCTTAAACGGGCCCGGAGGCCGCGCTGTCCTGGTTGCCGCCCGGCACCTTCCACCCCGAGGCCACTCTGGCTGTCCACGTATCCTAGTGGCCCAGCTGTGAGTCTTCATTAGAGCTTTAATTGAAGCCCGGCGATTGGATAGCTGATGCCTTTCTCTTTCATTTCTGTTTCTTCTTGGTTGTGGATTAACCAGGGGAGCCTGAGGGTTGATGTTCTGAAAAAAACGTAGCCTGACTTCCTCCTTCCTGTTGATGTCTCCAGTAGGCTATGACCAGATCTCTTCAGTGTGTGTGGTGCTTCTTGAGACACCATTTCAGAAAAGTATTCAGTGATCCTGAGATCACGTTTGTTAGAAATAAAGCAGGCATGCATTATTATTGAGCTTCCTCGAAGTCTGTTCTTTTTCAAAGTACTTGAACCCTCTTTTCTAGTGAAAGCATGTTAAAGATGAAATCTATATTGAAAAAGGAAGATTTATTTTTTGGGGGGGGGGGAAAAAGCTTGGGATTGTAGTACATCTTTGGTATTTTCTATCCTGTACCTAGTACTACTTGGGTGAATTCTCCTAGCACATTTAATTCAGGGTAACAAAACCCAATTGTTCTCATGTGACATGCCGTGCTCAAACAAATGAAGTATGTTAGAGCCTTACTCTGATACACTCATTAGGACAAAGGACAGAGTTTGCATGAGGTGCTAAACTCCAAACCATTCAACCAATATTTGGCCTAATTTAGCGTCATGTAAACCAACATTGCCATTTAATTTAGTACTGCTAGGTAGTTCAGTGACCATATTTGCCTTCAGAGTTATTCCTATTTTGTCTGTTCTCCAACTAGTCAGCCATCTGCTAAGCAGGAAGGAAGCAAAAAACAGCTATCTTGCTAGAAAAGATTTTAATTTCCTCCCACCTCAGTCATTCCTACTGAGGTGACTTTTCCCTTATTAGAATCCATGAACAAATAATGATCACAGATGGGAGTGGTTTTTGTGGTACCACCCATGAGAGAGAAGGCTTCTGATAAAAAGATTGGGAATTCCTAAAATAAATGTTCAATTTTTAAAACTGTCATAGCTTGCAAGATACATTTATATCCTGTACTTTTTGTTTTAAGTGCTCAGAATACTTTAAATAGAGCTGCTATGTACCAGTATGAGCTGCAGAAATATGGACGTTTACTAGAGGGCAACATAGAGTTAAATTATTTAACTGTTCCCTTCCATCTACTAACTGACTGGCCCAGGTATGATATCCAATACATGGACTTTGGGTGATATACAGAATCTAAATGACAACAGATAATACTACAGTTAATTATTACAATACAAAGTAACAAACCTTTTTGGCACTAATGACTCCATGCTAATCAGTCTCCTATCCCCTTTAAAAACTTTACACAATGTTCTCCCTAGATGACAGCCTCTCTAAGTGGTTTACAGAGTCAGCATATTGCCCCCAACAATCTGGGTCCTCATTTTACTGACCTTGGAAGGCTGAGTCAACCTTGAGCGGGTAACATTCGAACTGCTGGCAATCGGCAGTCAGCAGAACTAGCCTGCAGTGCTGCTTTCTAACCACTGCGCCACCACGGCTCTTGGTGCTCATTGGCTTAGAGTTAACATCTCGAGACAACTGCAAACCTCTGGAACAAACCTCTGAACTAAGAAGCAAATTTAGCTTTGGTTGAGGGTTTGTTGTCTTTTAGAGATCACAAACTAACGGTTAAAGCTAATTTTGGTGTTTCAGTTCCATGTGCAAAACTGAGGAGGAGCTTCATTCAGGCTGCTGTTTTCCAACATAGCTAACTAAGCAAGTCACCCTTGATGTCAGTGGTTAGTGGCTTCGAGATGAATACATAATGTTTTCTGTCCTTTGAGAATGGCACAGGAAGTGGCAAAGGAAATTTCAGGATTAACCCTCTGTCTTCTGTTTCTCTTTCCCCTTATCTCACTCTTTTACTTGAAACATACTTGAGATGCAGTTTTTCCAAGAAGTACATCCCTTTTATTTAATGTGTGAAATTGTGTGATGCCATGTAAGAGCTGAGACTGAATTGTACAGTCCCGGAGTCCTTTGATAAAACTAACCATGTAGACTTTTCTTTAAAAACGTGGGCTATGTTAATAGTATAAAAGCCTTAACCAAAATAATTACAAAATTAGTAACTTCATGCAAAGTAAAATACTATTGTACAAAACTAGGAATAGTTTTGGTGTTTTGAATATGTTGGGAGAAGTCAAAATTCCAGCCAGCACAGCCAATGACCGGGCATTATGGAGAATAGGTTGCTTCTATTCCTCAGGGACCTTAGGAAATTCAGGAACTTGCTCAACTGACCTTAAGAAAATGTTTTTCTACATAATTACTCAGTCACCATTCAGCAGCACAGATAAAATCTTGAGAGGCATTTAGTGTAGCGAGGTAATTTCTGCAGTGTTTTCCAATGATATGTTAGTAGCATATCTTTATTAATAGTAATTAGCAAAAGTAATTTAAGAAAAATAGTTTAAATGTTCATGAGATGGTTTTTCAATGAATATTGGGAGGAGGCTATAGATTGGTTCAGTCCTACTGTGACAATCTAAAACAGTAAGAAAAGTCTGGAATATTGTAGATTCAGAGACTACAAGTCTTGCTAAGTTTATCTTTTTTGTACAAGTACTAAATCAAGTAATATGGGATTGCAGTTAAATGGGGGGGGGGAATACAGCTGGAGTACTCAATGGGATCCTTAACGGTTATAAGATTTTGTAGGAGAAATGCGACCACTGTGCTATAGTCTTAAGTTGGACTAGCACCGGTGTGATCCTAGCTCTCCCTCAGCCCACCTACCTCATGTAGTGCTTCTTTTAGGGAAATAAGGGAGAGAAAAGTGCCATCATGAATTCCTGAAGAAAAGTCAGGATATATATAAATACTAGCAGTGGCAATTTAGTAGAAATTATTGTGTATATTTAGTTTTTATCAATGCATGTTTATTCCATAGTTGCTAACTAATTGATCCTCTTTTTTCTCTTTAAGATCAACACATAATGAAATGGAGAAGAATAGGTAAGTGTTTCGGAAACAGTTTATATTTAAATTCTACAAGCATCCTTAAATTATACCATGCCGTGTTGAAGCAAATTACAACAGTGCAGATCTAGTTTTTCTGGCTGCTGATCTCAATTAAGTAGAATTGACAGATGTTTGTGTTGGTGGTCTTAATCCTTTGCAATATTATTACTTCTGATGAATACTATTCTACCCTAAAGTCAGAATTTCAGTACGCATTTCCAGCTGACATACTACATCCCTCACCATAAGAAAGAGTTTGTGGTTTGATTATTCTTGCTACTCAAACTCACACTTGTTTATATATTAAACAGTCTGGAGTGTGGTACTTCAGGAAGAGAACCAAGTTTATTGTTGCAAACCAGTTTAGCATTTCTATATAAAATTGTTCTTCTGTGTTGGTTGGCACAAATGGCATCTAAAGTTAAATTTAAGACTTTCAGCTTGGTGACATTAGTTTCTCATCTGAATGTGTTTGTTAAAGATTACTTGCATGTTTTTCTTGGATTGCTAGATAATATAAACATTAGAGCAGCTGGGTAGTGGATATTTATTTAACACTTAACCACAAATGCAAACTTGTACACTTCTACTAAAATTCTTTGAAGCCAGAATGTAATATTCATGTGTATATTTACTGGAACATGGCTTTTCCTGAATTTTTTTTCAAACTATTAAACATTTAGAAGTACTTATTAGGCGTTGGGTCATTAACTGCATCTCTTTCAGTGCCACTATCGGGAGAATAAGATGTGGGATCGTGTTTGTGGGCTTCCTGGCTGGGCTGATTACTGAGGAAACAGAATATTAGATGGCCTGAGTTTTTATCCAGCTTGCAATTCTTGTTTCCTTTTCTTTAGAAAGTTTCATTTAAAATTCTTTTCAAATTCATTTTGTTTTTAATACAAAAATAAAATAATAGTGAGAGGACATGTATGAATTTATGGCACAACACTTAAAGCGAGCTAAACCAACTATTATTATTGGCCTGAGTTGTATCTGCAACTTTTAATTAGGGGAATCTCAGTTTATTTCATGATTGACAGTCCACTTTCCGTTATTATTTGTTCTAACAAAAACATTTCATTCCAATTTTATGTTTGAAGAATCAGTTCTAGGGATTTTGTTAATAAAATTTCCCAATTTAAACATAAAGCTGCTACTTCTTGCTCAGTTAAACATGTAATAAAGTACAAATTTTAGTACTTTTTATAGAAATGATCTTCATTCAATATTAGTAAACTTGTCTGACCATTAATTACATTAAGTAAAACCCAGTTGTTTAAATAGTAAAATCATGACCCAATAAAATAACTTCTGAATTTCAATTCTGAGTCATGCAGCCTGATCTCAAATTCAGTTCTTCTATCCAAGGCAGATTTAAGCACATCTTTTATTTTCTCCCTTAGAATCGGTAGAAGTTGAAAGAACATAAATTATACTTCATTGTGCCTTGTGCATTTATAACACATCTACAAATGGATGTTCTTTTTTGGTCAGGAATACTTTCCAACATTCTTAAATTAACAAAAGTTAAGTTTAAGAAATGTCATGGATGTATGTTTTTGAAATCTCATGCCCACATAATTTTGATTAACAGGCGTGCTCATCTACGATTGTGTCTGGAGAAGCTTAAAGGGCTGGTGCCTCTTGGGCCAGAATCCAGTAGACATACTACATTGAGTTTACTAACAAAAGCTAAATTGCACATAAAGGTGAGTTAAAGCTATCGTGCTTATAATGGAGAAAAAATAAAATGTTTGACATTTCAGTTAAAATTAATATCACATTTGATGAGCACATTCCAACTTTAAGCCTTGGAGTACATTTTTAGGTAGATCATGACAAGCTGGTGCAAAAGATTCCACCTTAAAGTGTACTTCAAAACAGATGTGAAAACAAAAGTAAAATGGCAAGAGAGGAAGAGATAATTGCTAAGGCTAGTTAGCTGCCCTTGAACTAGTTCCCCCCTCTAGTTCCCTCCTCTGATAAAAGCTATTGGCTTTGGCATTGAATGTTTAATGCTCAGGGCCTGTTTTCTTCCACAGAAACTTGAAGATTATGACAGAAAAGCAATACACCAAATAGATCAGTTGCAACGAGAGCAGCGGCATCTGAAAAGGCAGCTGGAGAAACTGGGTATTGAGCGTATACGAATGGACAGTATAGGGTCAACAGTTTCTTCCGAACGGTCAGATTCAGACAGAGGTGAGGAAACGCTGGTCGGTGCTTGTGAAGGTGTGCGCGCTTTCAAGTTCCAACATGCATTGCTGTGTCAAAAAATTCTTATTTGTTTATTTATATTTCACATTTCTAAACCGCCCATCTCCTTCAAAGAGGGACTCTGGATGGTTGAATTGCCTAACTGATATTGCTTCCTGTTATTGCAGAAGAAATTGATGTGGACGTGGAAAGCACAGACTATCTCACAGGGGACCTCGACTGGAGCAGCAGCAGCAGCAGCCCCAGTGATTCAGACGAGAGGGGCAGCTTGCAAAGCATCTGCAGTGATGAGGGTTATTCAAGCGCCGGCATTAAGAGAATAAAGCTGCAGAACCATCTTAAGGCCTGCCTCAGCCTATAAGGAGCCAGTAGCGTCCCCTCCCTTGCCCCTTCCACTGCTGTTTCCTTCTTGGATTTTGCTAGGTAGTATGTTGGACCGCTCCACAATTCTCTTGCACGTAAACTTCTTGTACCATCAACATTACCAAAATCTGCTTTGCCTAAGTCTGAAAACAGTGCATAGTGTTGTGGGTTGCAAGTTCCTCCCTGGAGCACACTTCTGCTGGCATCCACTAGCTTCTCTTTTCTATCAGTAAATTCATCTCTGTGAGACTGAACATTCCAGCCAGAATTCTTAGCACCCAGAATATTGTTGCAGTAATAGCAACATACGTGTTTTGGGCCTGTGCTGCAATTGCTTAATATGCTGGGTGAAGATCTTCACCCCGAGGTAGTAGGGCCGATGGTGATATATGCTGTTTGGAAACAAAAGCCAGACTAGTCTTTCAGGCATGACCACTGTGGAAGGAACCCTACTTTTTTTTTTTTTTTTTGACATTCGTTGTATCACAGTAGCAGGCAGAAGTTAAAAATGATAAGACAGGCTTGAAAGAGCGTATGGTTGTTTAGGGAATTGTGCAGTGAATCTTTCCAGTCACTGTTAAAAAATTATTCTGAAATGTCCCAAGTCATTGTAGTAATAAAGTAGCCAACCTGAGGTTGGAAATAGGGCTGAGAAAGGTAATTAAGGGACTAACTGAGTTTGGCAGAAGAAGAGCCGGCCGAGTGGAATTGTACTGGAGGCTCTAAATAAATGGGAGTTGGGGGATGGTTTTCTCTTTGAGCTGCCTACCCTGGTAGGAGGCCTTGGCTTCAGCGCATCTCTGTATTTTCACGTCAGATGACCAAATACTATGCTTGTGCAATCTTGATTATGTCGTCTTTGCATTGACAGCTGCATGTTCCTTTTTGTTGCTAGCAGCTCTTCAGGCTGCTGAGTCTTGCTTTTTGTCTCTGGGACAATTTATTTCTACCTCAGAGAGATGAACAAAGCTGATCTCAACCCCTTTAGCACAAATGAATTATGATGCCTCGTTTGTATACTTGGTACTAGCCCGACCTGTTTCCTTAAAAAATCAGCAATAACCGAGTGGCAAAGTTAGCTGCGCTAGCTTTCAATTAATGGCTGAGGAGACTGCCCCAAAGGAATTCCACGGTGCCCTCTTGGCATCCTCGCACTTCTTTTACCAGTTGAAATCCTTTGGGAGACACCCCCGCCCCACCCCCCGATGTGCCGTGTGTGGTTTTGCGTCTGGATTTTGGACGTTGGAACTCTTCTCTGCCCCTTTTTGCCCTGTCTCTGCACTCCTGACATCCGTAGCATTTTTCATTTAAGCTAAGTAGAGCACATGCAGATGTACATAATGTGGTCTATAAATAGTATTTATTCCTTTTTTTATATCAATCTAAGGTACTATTCTTATGATTTTGTGCTTTTGTAGATGATTAGGAAACTTTGTATGTCGAGGTCTAATGAACCTTCTTTCTTCCCGTCTTTTTGCTTTGCACCGGCTGCCAGTGAACCTCTCACAAGGGTTCTTTGTATGCGGCCAGTTCTTCCCCAGCACTTACAGACTGTCAGAGCAACTTCCTCTCACTTCACTCTCAAAGGGCTTTGTGGCAAGTTGCGCTTTACTATGAATTCCATGTTTGCTTGTATCCACTACCAGATATCCAAGCAAATAATATGAAAATGGGTATATTTTAAGAAAGTCAGTTTTTGAGATGGGAAGTGGGGCTAGCGGATGGCTAAAGATCCCCATGTCGATTGCTTGGCGCTGTCTTGAAAGAAAACAAAACAGAAGGAACAAGAGCTGGAATTCTCAGATGTCCTGCTGACTTGCACTGACCTCTTCCTTGTTGGAGACTTTCCTGCGTCAGTCTAGCAGCTGGCTTGCGTCTAGGCGTCCCTGCTGAAAACCCTTCAGAGACTGGGCTCCCCCAGCGTGCAGTTTGAGTCCCCTTGATTTGAAGAGGTCTCTCGCCAGAGGTCTTTGAGTTTCTCTCTTTGTTAATGAGTTGCATAAAATTGCCTCTCAAATTCAACTCCATGTTGTCATCTTAGAGTTCAAAGTAGCCTTTGATTTGGAAGGTATTTGATAGGGTAAATTTAGTATACAACGTGGTGTTTTGTTTTGTTTTTATTGTGCCTTTCGTGAGTTACTGGGCACAGTTTACTACAGACCTCTCCTGGCTAGGAGCACTCCCCCTCTGAATAAATGGAAGCTGCAGATATATCCATAGTGGATTTGAGAAAATAAATTTTGGAGGGGTGTAACCATCCTCTTCTTCAGTAAAGTACTTTGGAGTTTTATTTTGTTGTCCTTCTTGCGAACCAGTAATTGAGCTTTGCACTTTCTGGATGCGGTCCTTTCAGAATGTGGGTGGTACAGAAAATAATTATAACTCCATAAAGGATGCACTAATTTCAAAAGCTAGATTAAAGCTATCTGTGATGTTTCAAAAACATCTAAATGAATAAATGAGTTGTCCTAGAGGCTTTTAGGACCCCTCCCAGTGTCTTGGTGAGGACTGGTCTTGGCTGCTCCACGCATCCGTGCCCCTTTGGTCCATCCCAGAGACAGCTGCCCCATTGCATGCAGGCCCCATCACTTCTGAACCTGCCCACGCACTCGGGAGGGCTGTGTAGTACTGTGCCATGTTTTTCAGTAGCAGTGTAGCTGTGGGTGAACCACCACACCAGTTGCTCTGTCAAGTGAGACGAGCTGGAGTTTTTTATGCTGCCAGGGCGCTGGGGAACAGTTGTGCAAGCAGCAGGGACTCTGCTGTCCCGTTAGCGTGTAAACTGGGCCCTCAAAATGCGACATTCTGGTGTGGCCAGCCTTTCTGCCGTATTCACTGATCCACCAGCATTATTATGTAATAAGCTACAGAAAATTAATTTTGTAGATCATTAACGGGGAGCTGTGTTTCTGTATGTGTTTACAGCTGGAAGTTTGTGTGCGTGTGCGCGTTTAAAAGATCACACTAAATACTGCGGCACTGAGCAACTTTTTTGCAGACAGTAAATCCAGGGGACACTTGGTTGGAAATTGAGAATTTGTGCTCTTTATCAGAAATAAACATGGCTGTCAGGGTGACAATCTGAAATATCCCAAAAGTATTGTCTTTACCTGGTAAATCTTTTCCTGAGTGTTGAACACCCAGAAATTTTATTACTGTGTATTTTTTTAATAAAGCAGAGCTTTCAAGGTGCTGATAGACACATCTTGTGAACTTTTTTCCAGGGTTTGTGTGAATACCTGTTTTTGATTCAAATTCCAAGCACTTATTTGAAATGTGTAATTAGGTGCCACAAACATGTTCACCTTGCCAGGTTGCAGAGCTCTGGGCATTAGCAGGGTGTGCACTGCCAACTGCCATTTTAGCACTTTGTTCCCACCGTGGGCCCTTCTCTCTTTCCGGGGACCCAGCATCTCTCTTGCTTCTCTTTAGAACTGAATTTCTGCCATGAAGTTTACAAACACAGCCCGGAGGAAAGAGTCCTCTGTGTTCTCTGGGAGGGATGAAGTCGGGGCGGGGGGGGGGTATTTTTTACGTGCTCACTGCCTAATTAAATTTTGGCATCTGATGTACAGCAATATAATGGGACTCATAGAGTCCTTTTGCCCCCTTGGTCACAAATTCAGGTTTTGACACTTAACTGTATTGGGACAAATATTGCTTTTACATATCCAGTTATGCATTTGTTCCAGAATTAAAAATAGTCAAAGTTGCATCCTTGGATTTATTTTCCCCTTCCTGTTAACACAAGTGGCTTTTTTCCTGTTATAGTTACCTGAACTTCATTGTACAACTATGAATCAATGATGCTTTTGTTTGAAAGAATAGCTATCCCAAATTATTCAGCAGAAGAAATGTCTTTTTATGCTACAAAGTGTATGTATCAAGATTATTTTAGCAAACTTCTTTATTTTAACTGCATTGCCTGGTTGAAGGACACTTAAAAGTCTGTTTCTCCCTGGCTGCCATCTGCTCGCTGTTTGTTGAAACTAGCTCTTCCCTCCTCACGTACCCCCAAATTTGACTTGCTTTAGTTTTGTGCTGTTCTTTTTTATTTACCTATGAACCTGCATCAAGTAGGCACTCTGAACAACACTTGCAATTCTGAACTTCTGAATTTGGTTTTGGAGTCTTCCAAATTGTAACACAGCCTAAGCAGGGAGCAGCGAAGGGGGACGGGGGGCGAGGACTCGGTTTCCAAATGTAAATACCACATCATTACAAATCCTGTGTCAAGGCCATATAATGGTGCTTTTTATTACAGTTAGCACATGCATTTTTAGAAATTACATGTTTTAGACAAACTTGCTGTGTATATGTATACTTCTGTATTGTTCAACTGTTAGAAAATAAATTATTTCATTATTAAAATGGTTCCAGCATTGAAGTTTTGCTTGAAAAATGATTTCACTTCATTTATTTTGAAATTATTCCAATTACTATTAAACTCTTTCAGAGTAATATTTACAATTTGTCTGGAGCAAGTCACAGGCCACCTACCCCCCCCCCCGCCTGCCCCAGACCTGATCCTTCCAGAGCAGCACCTGTTTGATTGGGGAGCCCACTCCTCCCGCTTCAGGCAGGACTCCCCACCCCCACTACGGGCGGCTGCCTGTGTTGCCACAGTCCTGGCCAGAGGGTGGGCGTGGGAGCAGAAGTGACCAGACGAGAAGGGCAGAGACTCTGGCGCAGCCCTCCCTGGGAGCCCCTGGGGAGCCCTGCTTGCGCTCCCGAGGGGGCCACGGGTGAGGGATCCCCCTCTTGAGCTGTGAGCTCTGGGCCCAGACTGCTTTCTCGGGGCCCTGCTGGGTCATCTGGTGCATTTGTAGAAACCCAGTTTGGAGACGAGTGGCTTCTTCGCTGCCACTGCGCTTCCTCATTTTCCTTGCAAAGCAAGGAGGGGACTGTGGGTGTATTTTACCTCTTTTGGGGGTGCTGGTCTGGTGAGGGGATGCAGCAGGGGGTGCTGGCCAGGGATCTGCAGCATGAATGGGGGCA